CAACAGCAACAGCAACAGCAACAGCAGCAACAACAGCAACAGCAACAGCAACAACAACAGCAACAACAACAACAACAGCAACAGCAACAACAGCAACAACACTAAGAACAGCAACAGCAACAACAACAACAGCAACAGCAACAACAACAACAAACAATATTAACACACAAAAATATTAAACCTATATATCGTCCAACCCCACCACCCCACCGCGAGGTCCGACCAAAACATACCAGGTCACGGTCCCATGGATCCTGTGTGTGTGCTCCGGCCGGTTTGCTCCGCTCCACCGAGGTGCGCGCACGCTCTCCGGCAGCCTGTTGGACCTGCTCACGCGCCGGGTGAGTCCCGCGTTGAGCGACGTGGTGGCCACTCGGGCCGGACACCACGACGGAGTTGAGCGACGCGAGTTGAGCGACGTGTTTGGTTGACATGATTTGTAGACTCATGAAGATGATGATGTGATGATGTGTGATAGGTGGTTTGAAAATAGTTAAGAAAGTTACAACAACACACAGACACATGAAGCGCTTGCAGATAGATTCGACATGATTCGACTGCTCCATTGTGGGATCATCCATCCAAGGCGCGCTTGGGGATTTTGGAAGAGGAGGAAGCCGGCCGGGCCCAACGGGCTCGAAGCTGCGTGGAAGAGATTCAGGCCTTTGGGATCTTCACCCAGTGCATTCGAGAAGCTCATCATGCAGTTGAGTATATGTTTATTTTTTGACATGCTCAGTGTCTCAGTGGGGTATTAGATGCTATATGGAGTCTATTTGTAATATGTAGATCGTCGATCATGATGTTGTGTGCAGTTTGAAGTGTGCGATCGTTCTTGTTTTGTTGTTTTTGAAGAGGGAGGGGGCTTCTGTTTGACCTAAGATTTTTTCCCAGTTCAGCTCAGCTGTAATCTGGGTGTTGTACATACAATTGCCCACTTGGTGGCTGCCCTCTTGAGAGGGATGCGAGCACTGGTGTCCAAGGATCCCTGACCTTCCCCTAATTTGTTGCAGGGAATGGTTGGTCACCTTGCAAAAGGATGCCAGATCAGTCTGGGAGTCCCTGATTCACCGGCTGCCGCTTCACCCGGTTGACAGAGGAGAAGCCACGGGACTATCAGCTCCTGCCTCAGCAGGTGCGCCGGAAACATGGGAATCGTCGTGGGGATCTTAGAGCAAACAAAGCACCTTTAGGTTTAGAAACCTGTTGAACAGTCTTGAACACCCACATCATCACAATGTCGAGGATGGTGTGTGGTGACGAGCACAGCGCACCCACTTCTCGTCTTACTCCTCCCTCCCTCAGGAGGATTGCATCTTCAATCTATACAGCTGGACTATCATATCCACTTCTTTTTCATTGCAACCCCCTATACTATAGTGGCCATCATATTGTTGGAGAACCCCGACCCTTTGGATCCCAGATCAGATCCGCCAGGTGCATGGCTTGTTCCTCCAAGCCTGCGCTTTGGGCCACATCTCTCCGCTGGCGCCGCGCGACTGGGAAACCATCGGCCGCCACTTCCAGCAGCTGGGCGGCCAGTGACGAAGCGGGGGACGTCCGGAGCGGCGGTTGGGCGGAGCATTGGGCGGCGGTCAACGTGGGTCAACGGAGCTTCTTAATTTGGTGAAGATGACACATTCCGATTACTGTATAGTGTTTTTTTTTAATCATACACTTATAGTGTTTATTTATGAAAGGACAATTCTATAATGTTTAACTTATAGGGGTTATATAATGTATTAAGGATGACATGTTCCGTCTATAGTGTTTCTTTTTGTGAGTCAGACTATATTACAAATATATTACAAATGTGCTTTTATCTCCGGGGCCCTGGAAGCAAGATGCCAAGGACCACCATTACGCTGGTTTACCTCAAAAACACCATGAAACACCATGTGTGGAATATTTACCGACATTGACCCAGACACTACCCCAAGTAAGTCATCCGTTACATGGAGTGTATATCGGGTTTAACCTGACTTGAGCAAAAGAGCCTACAATAGCGTTCTAGGTTGCCAATCCATCCCTAGCTCCCACAAAACCAGACAGCGTTTGTTGTTGTTATTGTTGTGAATCACCAGGAACACAGCAGCTAGACTGCTTTTGGTTTTCCAGGCAGTCCATGTGCCTTTAGAATGAATGCATGATTCACACCAGGCATTTGTGCACTACCTGAAGATGTTCTCCTATGTGTGTTTGGTCTCTCTAAGAGCAACCGTTTTGGCTTTGACAAACTAAAGTAAAGTATATACATGTTTTGTCATGTCCTTCTAATTTGGAGGTGTAAAACATATCTTGAGCAACAGAAACACGCGGTTGCACGCTAGTCCTGATGAAGCTAGCTCCTTATACCACTGGCCACCAGTGTGCCTTGCAAACAGCATCCTTTTTGGTACCTAGCGCTGAGGAGCGTGCGAGGCTTTATGAGGGTGGCTTTGGAGATGCTCAAATACATCTTAGACTTGGCGCTGAATCCACTTGGTCGTGCGCCTTCAGCTGGGGAGTGCGTCTTGGAATTTGCACACCAGCTGGGTGGTGGCTTCATAATGTTTCATACTTTCATGTTCAGGTCTTTACTTGAGATGTTTAAACATCGTGATGCATAGGTTTTGTTCATGAGTTGAAACCAGAAACCAGCCAGGGTAGCCCTTCTGAGAATTTTGTGGTTTCGTGACGTTTCGGATCGTTTCGGTTTGGATGTAGGGTCGCACCCTGGATATACCATTGTGAAGATGATCATTGTCTTGTATGGTGATTCAACTGGGAGCGCTTGCATTTTTTGGGTCGAGCCCAACCGCCCCCAGCCCTCGCTTTCTCTAAACATCGTGGCCCGCCCTCCAACAGCGCCGCCGTGCGCGCGCTGCCGGGTGCGTGTACATCCCGTGTCGAGCACCGGGGGGGGCCGTGACTGGTGCCACATGGCTCGCTCACCATGCCGTGACTGGTGCCGCATGTGGCGGTCAAGACGATGTGGACCACATCCATGGCCCCAGCGAGAAAAAGCTTGGATGGGGTTGGGCCAACTTTGTTGGCCAGATAGTATAGTCACTATAGATGCATGCAGGCCACTGGCGAAAATAGCTGAGGTTGGATTCATCAGGTGTGTCCTGGAGGTGGATGGGATCCATGTTTCACATGGATTCAGGCCTTCCAGGCCTTGCAGTGCGCGGGCTCCTGTGCTTTTCGCTTTTGCTGATGCTTTTTGCTCGGCTCAGCTCCCTTCCCTGGCTCAGCTTTGCCCTTGGGTGTCCTTGCCTTGGTCTTGTGCGCCTTGTTCTCGGCCCGAGAAGTTGCAGGCCTCTTCCATCAGTCGAAACCAGTGGCACCCACCACCCCCCCCGGATGCGCGGGACTCTTCCCGCTGGTCCCCGCCCAGGGGTGGAATTGGATCAAAAGCGAATCCTGCGGCCGCTGGAGGTGAAACACCCGCCACAGGGGTTACTGACCCTTCTCTGCAGCAGTTCCAATCAGATGCGCGAAGACATCCATCCACTGTAAAGCAGGATTCAATGAGATCTCCATAGACATCCTGGAATCCATGGTCCGGACTTTTCCAACACTTTTCCATTCACATGTGCCCCCCATGATTTTACCACGGAACCGACCCTTTTCGTTTAAAGATCTGGCTCCTCCACTGTTCCGCGCTTCCAAAGGTTCTGGCAAGCTGGAACGGCTTTGTGGCTCATTGGAGGGCGCCCGCGAGGAGAAGTTCGGCCGTTCGCACCGGCTTGACGCGCCCTCGGGTGGCTGGAAGCCAGCCCGGTGGTGGTTCCACCGATGATTAGCTCTAAAGATCGTCGAAGACCAGGGGATTGTTGTTTCAGGAGCTTTTCGGTTTAGTTTTCCATTCTCAGGACACCACAAAAACCCAGTACAGCACACCACATCCTCACTTGCGTCAGTCGGGTCAGTCATGGTCAGGCTGACAAGGCGACTTCAGAGAGCAAGCAGCTTCCTCCACATCTCAAGCAGATCTGGATAAATCATCATGAACCAAAAGGTTTCACAAGGGTTCACGGTTAATTACATGGTTCCAACCTAGAAGCGACGCGCTCCAACCAAATTCAATAGTGGTGGCCTCCAACCTAAAAGCGATGGCCTCCAACTGATAGCGTTCCAAGGTTCCAGTCCGAGTTCCCAGTCCAGTCCAGACGTCCAGTTACTCCTCCCAGGAGTTGTTGAAGGCTTGGGCCACCTCGAAGACCGCCGGCAGCGAGACCGCCGCGGCCGACGACGAGACCGCGACCGCCTCGTTGCACGCGACCGCCGCCCTGTGCACCTTGCACCCGACAGGCGGGGGAAAGGTTCCTTGAAATTTCGGGAATTGAGATGAAATTACTCACTAGTAGCGATGCTCGGAGTTCCTAGTAGCGTCCTTTTGTTCCTAGTAGTAATGCCAGGAGCTACTAGTAGCTTCTTGTTACTAGTAGAGGGCAAAATGAGGTGGTGCAGGGCAACTCTGGGCAACTCTTCAACAGTAAAAAGGCATAAAAAGACCGACAAAGGCCCAAGCAGTTTGTAGAGATTTTGCATGTTTTTGCACTCAGTGTTTTTTACTTTATTAAGTTAGGTTTCATGTCTTTAGCAACGTTTCAATATTTCCCAAACAGTGTGGACACACTAGGGGTTCTTACGGTAATAGTTAAGGTGTCTAATCAAGGTGTTGCACCAACGTGTCCGGCTAATTCGCTGCTATTTACAGTATACATGCATGCCTCTCGAAGTGCATTTGGACTGCGCAGGCTCGCAGAATCTGTTTGGCTGGAGCGGGTGCTTGTCGCGACTGCGCTCTCGTTGTGGTGCTGTGCGCATTTTCGGACATGATGGTGACTTTTCGTGGCAGGCACAAGGGCAACTCACGCGCTCACGCTCACACTCACGCTCACACTCACACTCGCTCTCATACACGCTCACATTCACTCTCACTCCACTCTCAATCTCACTCGCTCTCTCGCTCTCTCCCTTCACTCCCACTCTGACGCTCGCTCACTCACTCACTCACTGACTCACTCCACTCCACTCCACTCCACTCCACTCCACTCCACTCCACTCCA